TCCGGAACGAATTAAGTTCTTAACCCGAGGTACAACTGTAGGTCCTAGGATCAGCCCCCATGGTGAGGCTGAGCTGCACTCCTGATCACTGCAGATCACCCAGATGGAGCAGCAACATTGGGACTGTGCAGCTGCACTAGCAGAACCAAGCCAGTGCTCCCGCCACCTGAACATTCACACCCAGGCAAGAAGCAGGGACAGCCCTGTTCGGAAGGCAGCTGTGCCCCATCACACGGGCTGCTACTGTAGGGCTCTAAAGCAGATGATTCTGTCTCGGTTCCTCAGTCAGACCAACCTGTCCCAAACAGAATCAAAGATCTGTACAGATGGAAGGGACCCTGAGGATCATCTCATCCAACCCCCTGAAAGAATACACAGCAGTCCCATATGGGGATCGGACCTGCAACCTTGGCATTATCAGCACCACACTCTAACCGATGGAGCTATTCAGTGGCTGGTGAAGGGGTGCAATGGGTAGGAAAGAGTAACAAGAGGCTGTCGCCAGTGACCAGCAGCTCTGGATAAAGGGAGTTATTGCACTGTTATTGAAGTCAGCACTGTGCAAATAAAGGATTTATTTACCGGGTAAATACCTTGTGAATCTACCAAGAAACTTGATGATAACCAGAAGTTAAGATGGACAGGAACAATCTGTTGTCAGGAACTGGTACAGTGGCACCTCGGGTTAAGAACTTAATTCGTTCTGGAGGTCCGTTCTTTACCTGAAACAGTTCTTAACCTGAGGTACCACTTTAGCTAATGGGGCTTCCTGCTGCCGCCGCCCCGCCATTTCTGTTCTCATCCTGAAGCAAAGTTCTTAACCTGAGGTATTATTTCTGGGTTAGTGGAGTCTGTAACCTGAAGCGTCTGTAACCCGAGTTACCACTGTATTTATAACAGGAGGACACCAGCAATAGACAAAGCCCATTAGAGACTCAAAGAAGTAAGTTGGATTTGTGGTTTTGGTGATGTTGATTATATGGGGTAACGAGGCTCCAACTGCAAACGCTTTTCACTAAAAATGTCAAATTTGAAATTAAGGCTGCAATCCTACATACCATGCTGAGTAGGCATATGTAGGACTGCATTGTAAGCTTTATCTTCCTGAACATTTGAAGAATGGGAAAACAATTAAGACAGAATAAAAGAACTGCTTTCAAAGACGAATTAAAATAAATCGGGCGTTTGAAAAACAAAGCTTTAAATACAAATTTTTTTTACTGAAGGACACAAGGATGAAATAGAAGATACCCTCTCGCCCCCAAAATAAATTAAAAATCCAGAAATAGGATTACTGCCTCTAATAGCTGCTGAAACTGATAAAAATCCTTATTTCCTCATATAGATTTTGTTTCATTTTGCAAGCTACAGATAGCGATAAGGAAATTCAATTACGCTTAAAGACTCCGAGTCACATAAGTAAACTGTACAAATAGACTGAAATCAATTTCAACAAAACTGGGCTAACTTAACAATATAATCAGACCTTACAGCATTACCAACATTTACAATTTCTGTTAATGTTATGGTGTAGATAAGGATCAGAGCCTAGACTTGCAAATATTTGCATAACCCCACGTTACAAGTTTTCTTGTGCACATCCTAGTACAGTGGTATAGTTTCTGACCACAGCTTTTTTTGCTGCACTGCAGTACTCCTGTGATAAAAGCCAATGGAACTCAGGATTCAGTTCCAGTTGTGTAAAAAATATCCTGCGTGACTTGGCAATGTTAGCAAGACCTCTCTATTTCCCAAAGAGAGAAAATTTAATTGTTGGGAAGAATACATCATTTTACACCTGCAAATTTCTCCAATGTGGATAAAATGCAAATCCAAAGTCTCACACATTTCAAAATCCTGCCTCTTCATTCTAATACCAGAGGCTCGGTACAAAGAACCAAAACAGAACTCTTTGCTAATAACCACAGCAAAAACACTTGTTTCCAAATATTGAAAACCAACTGAGTACCTGCTCCTGATAAACTGCCTGTCAAACTGAGAGATGGCAAATATACTGAAAATTACTTTCATTCAGCTGAAAGGAGACATATTCACAAGAGATTCTTTTTAGTGATAAATAAGCTTATTTGCTATATATATTGGAATGCTAAATTTGAATGATAGTCCTGTCAATCTATTGGTTTTTCCTTATTAAAGTTCTTTGGGAGGCTTTTGCATATTTGTATTTCAGAATACAGGGTGGAATTATTTTCACACACACAGCTGTAATGCAAACCTTTGCCTTTGCTGTCTGTTGGGAAGAGTAAAAATTCCATTGCTCTATTTTTCCAAAGCTTCCTGCATTGCGCCAATTCATTCAATTATGCAGCTGCTAATTGGAATTGACAAAAATCTTTTACTTGTCAAGCTGTACGTACAGTGAGAACAGCATTTCTCCTTTTCAATTGGTGGCACGGCCAATGGCATTCACACTTAGATTTGCACAGGTCCTGCTAAAAGCCAGAACACTGTCAAGTTTACAAGACGGAAGGGTAAGAAATGGAATGGATTTATTTTTTTTAAGTAGGAAAACGGGGAATAATTACAGCAGGGTGGTTAAAATTAAAATAGGAATTCACGGTCTTCTACCTCTAACCTGTAAAGCTGATGTAACTACTGTTTTGCCCCATCTAAATATGGGCAAATAATAATAATAATCTGGTAATCAAAAACTGTGGTATTCCCTGGGAATCTCTGTAAAAGTAGGATGTCTGTTCTAAAAAGTAGCTTGAATTAGCATAGCCTCTTCCCTGCAGGCCTGAAGATCACATTTAATTAAGCAATATGCTGCTCACTCTTTACATTACAAAGGGAATGTCTAATATGCAGTTCTCCAATATACCACAGGCTCTCAGCGGCCATGTCACTTAACCTCAGTTGAAGAAACCTGTCAACAGAAGAGACTCCCACTCAGCAAGAGCAATAAAAGCATCAATCCCGCTTCTCGCACGTTTCATGTAGCAATTGGCTTCTGGGCCACATAAAAAATGACCTGCCCTGCATCCTGTGAGGAACACCAATCCTCTAAAGGAGAGGATTAAAGAACCAGAAAATTATCTAAGAACGTGTCTTGATTTTGACAAATTACCCAGTCTTGATAACGAGCGAAACATTCAGCACAGCCACAAAGGAGCCTCTATATTGTAATGAGCTCTCCTAGGTGCTGGATTTGTGCAGAGACACCTAGGAACACCAGGAGGATTCTAGCATCCCCAACACTGGCGGGCTTTACACATCTGTAAATTGGAACCATTCACTTGTTTGGAGCAAAATAAAGGTGCACACTTGCAGACAATCTCAGGACGAGCTAAACCACCCTCTGGCAACATCAGAAATTAGCCAGGCACCAGGTGCTGGTCCATTTGGGACCATGTGGATGTTGGCAAATAACCGCTCCATCTGGCTGGCCCCTCTAGCTTCCTTAAGCCGGTCAGAAGAATTACTTATTTATTGCATTTACATCTCACCTTTTCCTCCAAGGAGTTCATCCTCCTCAATTAATCTCTACAATGACCTTGTGAGGCAGATTAAGAGGTTGTGACTGACTCCAAGGTCACCCAGTGAGTTTCAGATTTTAACCCTGATCTGCCACTCTAAGCACAACACCATGCCGACTTCCTATAGTCCTTCTGCTATGGGGCACTAGGTAAATAAACATGGGGAAAGCCAAATGTCACTTAAAGAAGGTTCTGAAGAGTTTCCTGGAAGCTTGCATTTGTTTTATTCTGGGTTGTTTTATTTGATCTTTTAATGTGTTGTAAACCTTTTTGAGATTTTTTTTCTTTAAAATATAAAGTGGTATAGAAATAAATAAATAATAATAATAATGGCAAGTTCAATTGCAAAAAAGGTGCCTAGATATTCCATTGTGGCAACCGTAACTTAGGTTTAAGGTGCCATTTGGCGATTAGCTTATATATCTGAGTTTCTAACACTGCCTCGGAGTCTCAGATCAAGGGCATTCAGCCACCTCTCTGAGGTACCAAACTGAAGTAATTTTATAAATTTATGAATTATTTAAAAAGAATGGTGCATAAATTATTGAATATGCAACCAGTAACTTCCGGTGGAGTGAGAGTGCTGGAACGGGGAACAGAGACCAAACACCGAGGCCTTGCTCCAGGTCTCCCACATCACCCAATAAAATTGATTGGTGGTAAATTCGGTACAGACAAAAGAAAAATACTTTCTCACACAGTATGTAATTTATTTATGGAACTAATTGCCACAATGTGTGATAGCCAGGGTCTTAGGGTTGCTCCCCAAGTCACACACTTACTCTCAAGTAGTGAGCATAAGTTTGCAGAAAATGTAGAATAGACATTATAGTTCTTTCATATATCCTTGGTGAAAACATTTAAAATGCTAAGAAAGAAAAGAGTTTCTCTACCACATACAAGAAGCATCTCTAATGAAAAAATAACCTTTTTAACAAAGTCATCTAAGTAGCCAGTAGGCATGAGGAAAAGCAGTTTCATGGAGAAAGCAGACAATTGTTACTCAATGCAAAGCACACCTCTTTCCATTTAATTCATGAGTACTAAGACTATGCCAAAATCATCTTGCAGTTAAGTACACTCTTACAATTTGCTGGCCATCACTCTGTCAGCTACCCCTTTTACCTCCACTTTCGCTTCCTCCCTCCCAATTTCAAATTGTCAAATATTAAGAAACAGACGTATCAAAAATATGTATTCTGGTATGTTGATGATTGGTTATGGGTGATTATCTACAGTGTTAAAAAAAAGGTGGGGCAGCATTCTTTTAACATATCGTATAGTGGGGTGGTTGGGAGAACTCACTCTTCCCAAATTCCTTGTTTCCCAATCTAAGTATCAGGCTCATTCCTTGATGCCTAGAGAATCATTATAATTGGACAAACTGATGGCCTGCTATCAAAACTACCAGGCTGAAAACAAGTTTCTTAACTGTCACCAGATCTATCACAATACTGGCTCGAACTACATTTTTTAAGAGGGCAGGTGAGAGTGGAAACTTACTGCAGGAATGTTTTAAATTCAGAGGGTTCCAAATTCTCCAGATTCAAAACTTCACCGTGGTTTGGACTATTTAACACTCTTCCAGCAACATGGGAGAAAAAACTGGGAACTCTTGCTAGTAGCACTCCCTTGTGAGCTCGGAAGAGAGCACCGCCAACATGGAAAGTGACATCAGTTTGGATTTCTTCTTTAAGAAGCCTGTGAAACACAACAGAGAGAGCATCACACATTGAGCTCAAAATGGAGTTCAGAATATGTTTCTTTCTTGGATCTAAAACAAAGTGCTATGCTTGCTCACATTCCATCCTCCAATAACCAGCTACCCAGATGGTAGGTGGCACTGAAATTAACTGGAACAGGGGTGGCACCAACAGCCAGGATGACTGGTCACCTGCTGAGATACATACCAACCTGTGGAGGTGCCCTCCTATTCCTCCTTGCTGTTCTGTTCACCTGTGTGAGCTGACAAGAGCAAGCCACAGTGACTTCTGCAGAGGGCCTTCTCGGTAGTGGCGCCCGCCCTGTGGAACGCCCTCCCATCAGATGTCAAAGCGATAAACAACTACCTGACATTCAGAAGACATCTGAAGGCAGCCCTGTTCAGGGAAGTTTTTAATATGTGACATTTTAGTGTATTTTTCATCTTTGTTGGAAGCCACCCAGAGTGGCTGGGGAAGCTCAGCCAGATGGGCGGGGTACAAATAATAAATTATGATTATGATTATGATTATTTTCCCTCCAGGACAGCTGCACAGACAAGACCCTGAGAAAAGGCGCAAGCAAATGGGCACTGGAAGGAAAAGGAAGCAAGCAACTTATAGAAGGGTCCCCCACAGAGATTTTGCCCAACAGCAACCCCAAACTTGGCGCCAGCACCAGATCAGACTCACATCCGGCTGTTCGATAATACGAACAACCAGGCCCATTGCAAAACTCACTTCCTCTCCCATATTTTCTCTGTCCCCGCTTCTTGCTATTCTAAGACTTGCAATTTCTTTCTTTACATTTAATTTCTGTTTAGTTACTGGGAAAGCTGTAGCTTCAGAGAGCAAGCGAGGCAGGGAACTTTTTTCTTGCTAAGATTCTGCACAGAGGCACAATTCCTAGTGTGCCCTGGGAAGAACCAATTATTTAACTACTCTAAGAATTGGAGCTCTGGGAGGTCAATACGGGTCTCCTAGTGACTCTAAGGAATTCTGAACCAGCTACAGCTCCCAGAATTCTTTGGGGGAAGCCATGACTGTTTAACGTGGTATGATGCTGCTTTAAATGTATCGTGCATACAGGAGCTCAGACATGCCAAGAACAGACCCCCTGAAACCAATGGGATTTAAGTTAGCCGTGACAACTACTTATGCCCCATTATTTCAGTGGACCTACTTGGAGCATGCTGAAGCCTGCATCCATCCCTTGCTTTTTCTCAAAACTTGAAAACTTCAACTTTCTCCAAAGAGTGGAGAATGAAAGCGTCATGAAGTAGTGTTTCTGTAAACAAGTATCACTGGGTGGGGCCCCTCAGGCAGGTGGTAGCAATTAGTCCCCAAAGTGGGAGCAGGTGATGGGGCGGGCTGGCTGCCAGCATTCCCCAGCCCCTATAAATCTTCGAGTTAACCTGCCGAGGGGAGGAGAGAACACGCTGTAGATTAGGCTGCCGTCTGACGTCTGTAGCTGGTGCCAGAGAAGATGCCAATAAAGCCTGATAACCCGTTTGGTGCCTACGTGCGAATTATTAGAAGCTTGGAGGGAGGACTCAGGAAAGCGACCTCCTCCTTGATAGAAAGTTCTTTCCAAAGCACTGATGGAAAAACAGGTCCCAGAAGGGCATCCCCTAGCAATTAGTCTCCAGGGAGGAACAATTATTCCATCAGCTGGAATAGCTCAGACGATAGCATACGAGGCTCTTAATCTCGGAATCATGAGTTTGAAATGCCACGTTAAGCAGGAGATTCCTGTGTCAAAGGGAGTTGGACTAGATGACTCTCATGATACCTTCCAACTCTACAATTGCATGATTAATAAGCAACCCTGTGTCACGTTAACATATGAGAGTGCTGGAGGTGAAATAGTTAAACAGGTTACCCAATCAGAACCCAGGGGGTGGAGTCAGAGGGACTATAAAACCAGCTCTGGGAGGGGCGGAGCAGAGAGTTCGTTGGGTGGTTGGTTGGAGTGGGAGTAAATTGGGATAGAGTCTGTGGGTAGGTTGAGTTAGTGTAGCGAAATAAGCTGAGTCAGGAACAGTTAGGAGCTAGGAGGACACGTAAATATCTGAGAGGTGGTTTAGTGAGTGAGAGCAGGTAGCGGCAGGTAGTTATAGGTCTGGATAGGCACTCTATGATTGTAATTGACAGATACAGTTTATGAAGCCACACGCTTGTTAAACTGTAATAAATAAACATAAGTTTATGTTCCAATTTATCCCTGACTGGACTCAGTATTGTACCAGGTAGGGCATGGGTGGTGGCAGCGAGAAATAAAGTGGTGGCACATGGATCAATAGACGGTGAAAAATCTAGGGACCCTGAGTGATCACCACACCTTGGTAAGAGGGTTCTGTGCAAAGGGCTGCGTGCATGGCCCTGGCACCAAAATTTTTGGTTGCCTGGCCCCTTCATGGGGAATTTTGTGGGTGCTCAGGCACCCAGGGTGTTGGCACCTATGCCTGGTAGTCTCCCCCCAAAAAAAAGCTCAGTTAATAACACTAATAACTGTCTTTATTTGCTTACTTTATATTATAATGGAGAAATTGCAGTGCTTTTTTTCCTTCAGTGTTTCTATTTGTGCATTACAAACACCTTGGGGGATTTAAGAAGAAAATGGGATGGGGGCGGCAAAATTCGCAGGTGCCACACTGGGGAGTGGAGTCATGTGCATGTTGGGACTGCCTGCGCTGTTGCTTCCCACACGCCCCTCTCCTAAGCAACCCACACATGGGAAGAGCCACACTGGGGTTTAGTGATGCTAAAATTTGGGGGGCTTCTTAAAAGAAAAGTCTCCACAATTTGGGGGCCTTCCTACAAAGAATCTCAATAAAAAAAAGCTCAATAATTCTGATGGTTTCCTCAAAATAAGCGCAACCATTTGGGCGGTATCCTAAAAGAAAGCGCTCGACCATATTGAGGTCTCCCCCTACCTCTCCACATCCTGCCTCAGCCGCTCAGCCACCGCCTCCTTCAGCCTCCGCCTCTCGGACGGGGCCTTCTCGCCGCCGCCGCCGCCTTTCCCTTCTCTTTCCGCGGCCCTCGCGGGGCCCTTGGACGAGGCGCCGCCGCCCCAGCGCGCCATGAAGCCGGCCAGGCAGCCCAACTTCCGGCTCAGAATTAGCCGACGGTCCCTGAGAGCTGCGGCGCCGCCTCGGCCGCTCGCGCTCCGCTTTGTCTCTCTCACGCCGCAACCGGCGCTCGGCGAAGGGAGCGTCTCGAAACTCTCGCCTTCTGTTTAGAAGCGGCGGCCCGAGAAGAGGCCCACCCCTTCCCTTCGCTTCATTGGGCAGCGGGGAGGAGAAGACCAATCGCGAAGCGGCTCTCCGTCGAGCCCCGCCTCCGTGTTGTTTACCAGCCTGGGGCGCACGTGGTTTGGTTCAGGTGGAGGCGGGGAGAAAAGAAGGGGGCGGCGGGGCTCGGCTATGGAAGGTTCCCGGCGATCTGGAGCCGCGGACTCGTATAGAAAGCTGGCAAGGCTGTCATTGGGTCAGGGCAGAGGAGAAGTAGCGATGGGTGGTGTTTGAATTTTGATCTGATGCCATGTTAGCTAGATTTCAATGAAGTACTTAGTTTAGGGTTGCCATTTTTCCTAAAGAAAGAAAAAAAGTGTTGCATGAATCGGACTTGGTTGGATCTGGTTCTCAGTGTGATTTCTTCCATATGGATTGAAAGGGAATAAAAAGCTTTTTTAGGAAGACTCCAAAATTGTTGAGCTTTATTTTAGGAAGATCCGGAAATGGTTGCGCTCCCCCCCCAAAAAAACCCGTGATTTTTCATTGATCCAGGACAAAGCGCCCTTTCGGAAATCCCCCCCCCCCGCATGTCCATTCAGACTTTGATATACGGCAGCCCTAAATTTGTTAAGAGTGCAGTGCTCTTAAAGGTAAAGGGACCCCTGACCATTAGGTCCAGTCATGACTGACTCTGGGGTTGCGGCTCTCATCTCGCTTTATTGGCCGAGGGAGCCGGCGTACAGCTTCTGGGTCATGTGGCCAGCATGACTAAGCCGCTTCTGGTGAACCAGAGCAGCGCATGGAAACACCATTTACCTTCCCGCCGGAGCGGTACCTATTTATCTACTTGCACTTTGACGTGCTTTCGAACTGCTAGGTTGGCAGGAGCAGGGACCGAGCAACGGGAGCTCACCCCGTCATGGGGATTCGAACCGCCAACCTGCTGATCGGCAAGTCCTAGGCTCTGTGGTTTAACCCACAGACTCCAATTTCCTTCACAGAGCTTCAATGCCCAGAATTCCCTGGGAAGAGGTATGGATCATTAAACCATTAAAACCTGCAGTTTTGTGAAGGTGGTAATAGCCTCCTAGCAACCCACAGCAACCTTAACAAACTACACTTCCCATAATTCTTTGGGGAAGGTGTCTCTGGTATGATACCGCTTTAAATGTATGGTGCAGATAGGTTACCGTCCCACAGCAAGAGGGGATTAGGATGGGGAATGCCTCCCTGGTAATTGGGATAATGATATCACAAAGGAGTCAACCAATCATGAATGGATACATCGTGTTTTCTGTCATACATTTAGAAAACTCACTATAAAGAGCTGGGTACAGGGCACCATGTCAGTTGCAGTTTATTAGAACAAGGCAAATACTAGGATACATAAGTCGTCGTCATAGTTCTTCATTCTCTATTTTAGTTGTTGAAACACTATGTGTATACATCCTAGGTTTTCCCCCCAGTTTACATCACTGGACAAGCAGCTATCAACTTAGCACAATTACATCTGATTTGTCACTTTAGGATCTCAAAATGTGCCCAGACACAAGTTTTGTTTTCTTTAGGCTTTTGCAGTAATATGTAGACCAAAAGACCTGTTAACATTTTTAATGGTAAAAATACAGTAAAAAAATTCCAACCAGTAGAATGACAATTGATCATCATACCAATAATAACTTCTTTTACATCTGGTACCCCTGCACTGATTCATCATTATAAATTTGTTAAAGGCACCACACATTAGAATTTTAAAGCAAGTGAGTAACCAAAACTAAGCAACTTTCTATGAGTTCCTTATTGTACAAGCACAAACATTTTTAAGGCAAGTGTTTCATGTGCAAAATACAGAATACAGGTAAAACCAACATTAACATTACAGAGTCTTACACCACCTTCTTGTAATAACATTGGCATCAATACGTACAGTACATTGAAAAACATTTTCTCTAGCAGAGCTCAGGTCTAAGGTTTGCTGCAAATATGGCCCTGATCACAATTAATTTTAACATTTAGATTGTGCCAGCAAAAAAACAACAACAGTCACTCTCTTTTTCTTGACTCTTCTTTCAGGAAAGTCCATATCAACTTGTTCACAATGTCAGGCTGATCTTGTTGGAGCCAGTGGCTGGCTTCGGACAGAATCGTAAGTCTAAACTGATTTTTTACATAAATCCTTGTGATTTCTGCCATCTCAACCTCCATGAAGGGATCTTTTTCTCCCCACAGCAACAGAGTGGGCATGGTGACCTCATGGTGCTGCAGAGGCAGGCAACTTTTAAAAAATAAAAGAAAATAAAGATCTTATTATTTTAAAAATCGGGACAAACGGATCAGGTTTAATTCCATTTCATAGTCTGTCACTCCAATCCACCAAGAGAGATCCAACCTGAAATCAGGCTAACTTGTGTAGCAAGTGGACACAGGTCTGTATATATTTCTGCACTGCCATGTTTTTCTGGGCCTACCTTCCTTCGATTCATGTAGGGATACAAAATACAATCCTGGGCTACTACTAGCTTTGTGTGACCAGAGTTGGACTGCTCCTTTCTCTTTCTTGCGGCAATGCATCCCCCATCTGATCCAGAGGGTTGGAGAACCCTATGGAGCGGATTTCAGGAGCACATGGGAAGGCAGGAATGGGGAGTGCTAGTTGCACAAGCAGAAGTCCACTAGGCAAGTGTGCCACAATTGGTTATCAGCCTATATCCCTATTATGCCACATGAGGACATATTTATAAGGAACAAAGGAAAACAGGGCTTTTTACTTCATATAAACCCATCCCATATTAAAGGCAAATTAGACCGCAACTTTCAAGTGACATTACTGAAGGGTAGGTGGGTTCGAGCAGGACTCGAGGCCTCGGTTCAGCTCAAGAGAATTTAATGACGCCTCAGGAACAAGAATGACAAAAGGGGGCACTTGGCCCAGTATATATACTTTAAGCCAGCCCAGCCGGCCTGTGATAGGTTGCCTTATGCTGCAACTAGCAAATCACAACACCGGCCCTATCACAGCAGGGACTGGCTGCTTGCCAGCTACTAGCAAATACCATTGGAGTGTTTTAGAATCCTTCCCGTCTTCTGTTCTGCAGCTGCAGCCTGGGCTTAGCCTACGCTGCATACATAACATTTACCATCCTCCTCCTTTAGATAAATTTCAAATTAAGAAAAGTCATATACCCCCCAGCTGAACATCCATTTCCAAACTAATTTTGTCCTTCCTCCCCTATGCCCAAGAGGCATTTCAGAGAGTCTGAACTGAGTTTCAAGGTAGAAAATTCACAATAAGGCCACCAAACACCCCCATTTTATCTCTTACAAAGCTGTGAGAAGTGACTGCTATGTTTCTGTACGCATGTATAAAGGTAAAGGGACCCCTGACCATTAGGTCCAGTCGTGGCCAACTCTGGGGTTGCGGCGCTCATCTCACTTTATTGGCCGAGGGAGCCGGTGTACAGCTTCCGGGTCATGTGGCCAGCATGACTAAGCTGCTTCTGGCGAACCAGAGCAGCGCACGGGAACGCCATTTACCTTCCTGCCAGAAGGTAGGCCCAGGCCTATTTATCTACTTGTACTTTGATGTGCTTTCGAACTGCCATGTTGGCAGGAGCAGGGACCGAGCAACGGGAGCTCACCCCGTCGTGGGGATTCGAACCACCGACCTTCTGATCGGCAAGTCCTAGGCTCTGTGGTTTAACCCACAGTGTATAGTGCACGGTAATGACTTCTGCACCTAAATTAAGCCATACTCTGTACCCGAACACCTCTAGGTTGTGCTTGTGAACAGTGTCTCGTATTATGTGATTGATCAAAGAACAATAGACTGACCTGAAAAGGTTTCTATAGTGATTAATGGGACCGGTTAGTGCACCTGGTTGGGAGAATACATATAGGTAAGCTTCAATATCTTCTGCTGTTAGCCTGCAACCTTTCCTTCCAATTCCACTTGACTGGCCAGTAATGAGGCTTTTCAGAATCTATGGCAACAAATAAGTAACAAGAATCAAATCTGTCCAAAATTACTAGACAGTTCTCATTCATAAGCACTGTAATTGTCTCTCATTTGCTTTATATTAATTTTTCTGTTATCATACCTCTATTTCCCACCTTCAGAAGTTATGGACAATAAGGTGGCATCAGCCGCCTCAGTGGAAGCCCCAACTTTACAGAAGTACGTGATTTCAAAAAATTAACCCCCAGTTGGTTATTTAAAAAACTACCGAAGCAAGGTAAGAACAGGCTATGCTGAATAAGTATGAAGGGATATTTCAATTTCAGTTTTCCCAGTTTCTCATTTTTCCCCAATCTGCAATTTTCCACATTTTGCATCAATTAGCATTTTCTTATTTTAAAAAATCCACACGATAAACACATTTTAATATGCAGTTTTGTCTCACATACAAATTTTTGTGAGTTTTCCCTAATATAATGCATTTCTGTATATTATTTTCATGAATACTTTCATTTTTAGCTGCACTTTCCCCATAAATATGTGCCTTTGTAAATACTGGTTGGAGAACTCCATTGCAAAATTGGGGTAAGTGCAAGTTTTGAAGGACAGGTCTGTTTCAGTCTGCATATTGTTTTGGAAACTGCAAAGCTGATAAATGTGGACCAGTTCAAATTTCCCTAGCTCTGAAACAGTTCCAAGGTGTTCTGGAATGTGTTGGGGACTGTGGGTTTGTATTCAATGTAGTGCCAAGGAGATCTGTCCATCCCTGGTTGGAAGCATTAAAAACATACCTTTCCTTTCTGCGCAGCAATGTTTCCATAAGCAATACAAATTCTCCCTCTTGCCACACTTACCTTAAAATCATTTATCGTAAACATAAGTTCAGGAAACCATGGCATTTGGAAGAAGTAGTAGTAGGCAGATTTAATCATTTGTGATGGATGTCGTAGAATGTATTCTTGAAAAGAAAAGACATGTTTGGGGTTGGTTTTTTTAGCTTGGTGTATTTATTACGGCTTATTTCACATGCTGTGAGGCAC